GGAGGAGGAGGAGGAGGAGGAGGAGGAGGAGGAGGAGAAGGAGAAGGAGGAGAAGGAGGAGAAGGAGAAGGAGAAGAACTGAAAAATTATAAAAATTGTTTTTCAATTATAGTTTATAGAGGGAACATTAACATCACATAATATTGAAACTCACGTAGAAGTTATCACTGTATGAAACTGGAACGCTGCCCTTGCCTGCAGAGCCAGAGTTTGATCCCCTTCCTCTGGGACTGTAACTCCAGACTGCGAAACGCTTGTCTTCCAGGAAAGACACGAGAGCGACGTCCAGAGTGCCAGGGTCAAGGCCGGTGAAAAAGAAGTTGAAGGACACGCAACCATCTCTCCTGGCAGGGAAGATCGGACTCCACAACTCCGCCTTTAGTCCGTCGCTTTGTCCGGACGGCAAGACCGCCACAGCCAAGTGACCTAACGGGAATAAGGAGTTACATTAACTTAATATATTACATTAGCTTTGCTGTTGTTTTTGGGGGTTTTGGTTTTATTTTTGGTTTTTGTCTTTTCTTTGTTGTTGTTGTTTTTCTTTTTTAGAGGGAGGGGTATGTTTTGGGGGTGGAGGTGGTGGAGGTGGTGGAGGTTGGTTTTGGGTGAAGGTTGTTTGTTTGTTTGATTCGTTGGTTGGTTTGTTTGTTTTTAGTTGTTGTTGTTTTTTATTTAGGGGGTGGATATTTTTTGTTTGTTGTTTTTTTTTCTTGGGGGAGGGATTGGGGGGTGACTAGGGATAGGTCCATTTCTGTCCGTTCCTGTTTTCGGGTTTTTGTTTTTCTATGTTAAATGTTTCAAATATTTTTGAGAAATGATGGAATCATGATATTGATGAGCGATCTCCTGTCCCTTAATTAAGTATTTTTCCTTCAACTGTCAACTGCCTTCTTCAGGGGTCTATTTGCTTGTTACTCTATCTGTCTGTCTATCTGCCTGTCTTTTTCTCTGTCTCTCTTGTCTCTGTCTCTGTCTCTGTCTGTCTCTCTTCTCTCTTTCTCTCTCTCTTTCTTTATCTCTCTCTCTGAACACACACACACACACACACACACACACACACACACACACACACACACACAAACACACATAAAAACACACACACTAGATCTAGTATATGTTGTTGTTGTTGTCGCTGCTGCTGCTGTTTTTATTGCTCTTATTGTTGTTGTCGATGTATTTTCTTGGTATTAAAAAAGAATTGCTTGTACAACAGTCAGTGTGACTGATACTTCTATGCATTTCCCTCTTACCAACCTTTTGCAGTGTGTAACGAGAGATCAACAGTTGGTAAGAATCGTGAAAAGTCCGGATCAGAAGGCGTTGTGACGACCCAGTCAAAGTCATTTGAATGATCATTGTGGTACAAGTCCAAGCCTTGTTCGAAACCTGTGTATTCTGGAAACAGTAAAAAAAAATACAATAAAACAAATATTTAGTGGGGGGGGGGGGGGGCTAACATTTTGATAACAAGCTCCATATACCGCTCGGAAGATTACAAAAAAGAAAAAAGGAGTGAAGCATTTTTTTTCTATCTTTTTTCCCTTCTTAGCCAGATGTGCTGGAAGGGGACTAAATGTCCCTAAACTGAAATGCATTCAGCCTTATGGATGAACGTCAGAAACATGTAGATCTAGATCTAGATCTAGATCTAGATTTATATCATATAAATCTAGATCTAGATCTAGATCTAGATTTATATCATATAAAACAAAAACATGCCATTTCGAAGTGACGCTTGGCCCCTTTCCAAGAAAAGAAATCAGGTAGCTGTTTGTGAGACTGGGTAAAAGAACATTGATACAATAACCGCCATTTTGTACAAAGAAAAAGTAAGACAAATATACTGACGAGCAAAAGAAAGTGGGCACCGTAGGTTTTCTGCCTAATTTACGTTCTTTAACCGTAGTAATGCCTTCTTGTAAATGAATTTTGAAAGATGGGAAAGAGTTCCGTAACGAGCGACCACCCAAAGGGGTAGGGATAAGGGTAGGGGTAGGGTTAGGGGTTGGGTCAGGGTCAGCATTAGGTCTCTTCTATATTGTGTTTGTTGGGGTGGTCTCTCATTACGTAAGCCCTTCCCCAAAAAAAGCTAAGGAAAGATTAAAAAGCATACCTTTTATTAGGAACTAATGACATAAATCCCAGAATGAGTAACTCCCACCAGCATTGATGACCGCAGTGCGTCTCTGCATCCTTGACTGCACAATTTGTTAGATACATTGTTGGGGGATAGTATTCCAAGCATCAATTAATGATTCTTACAGTTGTGGGATTGTCGTTGGGGGTGGCAGAAGGCCGTGAATTTCTTTGTCCATCTTGTCCCAGAGGTGCATTGTTCTGCTGGAACACGAGATTGTTCCTCAAGCGAGCCAGGTAAACGACATAAGGTGTGGATGGAGGACGTCATTGATATATCTCTGGGCAGTCAGATTACCGTCGATAATTACCAGATCGGATTTATCAGTACTGGTTATGGCCCCATACCACAATGCTACGCTGATCAGCAACAGCACTGACACACTGAGGTAAATAAGGTTCATGACATATCCTGTAGATTTTCTGCCTTCCATCGTTGCGATCCAAACGAAATCTGGACTCGTCAGAAAATACTCTATTCCACTGCCGGTTTAGCCATCGCCGGTGCAAACGCACCCAGTTGAGTATATCATGACAGTGCCATTGGAGAAGTTGAGTGCATCGAGCTTGGTCTCGGGCTACGATACCGTGGGCTTTTAAGCGTCGACGAACGGTGAAGCGGCTGATTGGTTTATGCCCAGACCATTCTGTCAGTTTTAGTGTGTAACTCCGATCCGATTGTCTCCAACAGCAGTAGCAGCGCGAGAACGACCAGACCTCGGGGTGTCACTAACTGTACCACTTGCTTGGAACCGTATCCTTAGCTTTTGGATAGTATCTCTCTTCACATTGAAAGCTCTAGCGACAGAATAAACCGTTACATTAGCTCTCAGAGTTTGATGACATTGCACAACACTGAGACGATGCATCGTATGAAACAAGATTGTAGGAAAGAATAAACCCAAAACTTTTGACAGCCTTTTCGCTGACACAAGTTTAAGTGTGTAACGCAAAAAGAATAAAAGTAAAGGCATTGTAAAATTTTAAGGAAAAACGAGAAAACACGTTTTTGGCCACACATGTTGTGAACACTTTTTCTAACAACAAAATATACAAATGTTGTACTGACCGACTTTCTAAAGTGACCCAAGCTCAGAATGTCAATCCCCAAGTCAAAATTCGCAAGACTACTCACACCTCACGGATTTGAAAACTGCCCACTTTCTTTTGCTCGCCAGTACAGAAAGAAATAATTGAAAGTTGGAGAGAGAGAGAGAGAGAGAAAAAAGTAGAATTTACCAGTGACACCCTCTAATCACTCGCTGAAAGTTGTTTTGGACATTATGCCCTAAAGGATAGACCTCGCCAGAATACCTGTGCCTGAGATTGGAGTAATCATTTTTAAAGGTCGCACCTGCTTCAAGTGCGCTGTACCTCTGTTCTCCATTAACCCAAGCACACACCCCCCCACCCCATCCCCCATCCTCTCCTCCCTCATTTCAACCTCACAATCTTCTACACACCGGCCTCAGAAATGTTAGGCCTCTATGAGCTCACTGACGACTTCAACAGAATACTTACCTGGGTAAATACATTCCCCGTCTTCAAAGTTTAGGTCATCAAAGGCCACCGTTGCTGTCTTTTCGGATACTGTTGCCACTTCCATGTACACCTTGAAGATAAGATAGATAGATAGATAGATAGATAGATAGATAGATAGATAGATAGATAGATAGATAAACTCTCTTTAAAACGAAAATATTACACAAGATTTTACATTCTGATTTAATTATGCTTTGTCGTATTTTTTATTTATTCGAATAACATGAAAGTGCTTTTTTCGAAAAATGTCTTTACTCTTAAAGTATAGCCTCTGTAATTATAGCTCAATCTTTTGAAAATGAAACGAAACGACAAAGAGAAGGTACCTTTTAAAACTGTCCAAATATTATTGAAAAGAGGCCAAAAACATAAGAAAAAACCTGGCTGCCGCGATGACTCACCACACTTGACTTCGGGGATACGAGAGTTACTTCCCCTTTGCTCCAGATTCCCTGTAGTTGGTTTTGTTTTCCCCACACCACTTGTTCCTTGGCGTCCTGAGGTCCCAGCATCGACACGGACAAAGACACGTCAGCACCTCGAGATATGAAGTAGTAGAACCGGAAACAGGTGGGGCCCTGGAAGTTGAGCTGAGGACTGACCGTACCTGCGCTGCGTTTTGGCAAGGCCTCAGTTTCGTGGAATGTCTCGAGCGCCGGCATGTAAACGTAGTAAAACTGTCCTGGATGAAAGGTAAGAAATTACAGAATGTGTGGGTATTTTAGCTTTGTTTTGTTTTCATTTTGTTTTGCCTTTTTTTGTTTTGCTTTGCATTGTTTTGTGGGTTGTTGTTTGGTTTTTTTGCTTTGTTTTGTTTTGTCTGTTTTGGTTTAGTTTGATTTGGTTTGGTTTGGTTTTTGGAAAGAGGAAAATATATCAACTCTTTCTGACATTAACTAAATAGTACACAGAAGTGTTTATAGATTACACTTGAAGTAAATTATAAATTCTACCAAGCAGAGCACACAGTCATAAATCCAAACATTGTAACAGCAAAAATGAGACAAGGCCATTTCTTGTCATATTAGTTGTTGAGTTCCCCCGGGTCGAATAAAGCTATGAAGTCCCTGCTTATTCAAGAGAGGTGGAAATTAGGATACTTAATGCTTTACGCCCCTATACAGACAGAACTTAAATGATTAAGAAGTGAAAAAGGTACACATCCTCGCGAACTCAATACAGTATATTTCCCATGTGGGAAGCTTACTCTTGTCTTGTCTATTGAGTGAAATAGCAAATATCCTGACCTTCACAATACACCCACCCCCCGGGGGCGGTGCCACTGAAGTGTCTTTAGGCCATTCTCAAAGGGGGACATTTACTTATTCTTATGCAAAGTAAAATTGTAAATGGGTTGATTCAACAATGTCATGCTCATAACTGTGCCTGAACTGCATCAGGGAACTGATGCTTTTTCTTTCCTAATCCTTACTATCGTCATTTTTCCTCTACTTCTTTTATACGTTTGTCACACTCTTGTGCTCTGCTATTTACGGGGTGCCTTGATAGTCGAAGCAGATGTGCTGTTGAAGCTAAAGAGGTGAGCAGAGTAAGCCCGATTCCTTGTAAACACTTCTCTGTTGACATCCACCCCTTTGCACCCATATGACCTTATGCAGTTGCAAGCGTCGTAAAACCTTTACCAAAAAAATAATAAACATCACAATACAAAGACCAGTACTCGGGTTTTCACAGAATAAATGAACAAATGAGCTAAGCTAGATTTGTCTAATTGGTTCTTCATGAGATGAGGCGTAACAATGACATTTGCCTCAAAATCATAGATCTCATAAACTAAATTCTGTAACGAACGACTTTATACGTACGTCAAAAGATTGGGCACGTCCTTAGCTTTCCTTTGATCTATATATAATTGTACTGACTGATTTTCAGTTGCTGCTTTAAACTTGTTCGTTCCAACCCGTTAGGAAGAAGAGTGTTGACTCTTCTTGCTCTGGTCTTTTTTCAATCGCAAAAAATGAACGTTCGTAACAAGCCCCCAAGGACAAATTCTATGGTAAGAAGAGCAGGTTTATCAGCATTTCTCATCAGCACACACACTGCCCTTTATGACCAACGCCGCGTCCGGGAGAGATTATCATCATCATCAGTTTTTTTGGACGAGTGAAGGTGACAGTGAGTATAATGACAATGGAGACGAAAAAGAGCCTCGCTTTCGCTCGAATATCTCTTCACGGAGTCCACCAGGCCCATTAAGGAAACAAAAACAAAAATCATCATCATCATCATCATCATCATCATCATCATCATCATCATCATCATCAT